AGTTAACAGATGACCACTTTATATGTTTTAGAGTTAACAGATGACCACTTTATATGTTTTAGAGTTAACAGATGACCAGCTAGAGAAGTTTTTTGCGTGTGAAAAAGAGAATGCCCCTGCCTGGGTAAGGACAAAGTTTGTATTTAATCCTTTCGTTTGAAAAATATGTAGCTACAGGTTAAAAACTCAATTAAACTGCTGTTGTATTGATAATGGCAAAACAAATAGGAATTTATGTTAAAAGGAGATACATCTTTCTCACCACTGTTTTACTATATACAACAAAACAGGATAAAATCTAAACAATCTCCTATATTTCTATTCGTCATCTAATGTTCTTTCTAATTTCCCAAACAATGATGATAATTTGTGTTTCTCCCAAAAGTTTTTAAAAGAATATGATGACTGCAAAGATAAACATATGCCTGGCACTACCGACGTGGAAGCTTTGAAGAAAATATGCGATGGAGAAGAAACAGCAATGAAGGTAAGATACTTAAAACATATTCATGTTATTTCAAAGTAAGTTTTCTTTTGTCTCAGTTTAATTTCCAATAAACCCCTAGCACGCCCACGCTCAGTAGGAGTTCGTTTGGTTCATATCAATAATTTCTTTTGACCTCCGATTCAAATTTTCAGTTAATTCGAGTTTCCATACTTAAGGTGGGCAGAGCATACAAAAAACCCATTATATAGCTTAGTGCTTAGCAATAAGTACAAATTTTGTGTTAGAATACCTACATTACACGTTAGTGAATTAAATAATTTTCAGTACTTTTGGTATTGATGGTGAAACCTACTTGTTCTGACATGTTACTTTGTTATTAGCTTATCAGAAAACGGGTTCCTTTAAATGAACTATAACTGTAACTCTGATTGAGCTGTTATCTATAATTTTGTTACCGGTGTTGTCATAGATAATGTTTATTTCACAAATGGTTCAATAACTAAACTAAGTGCACTTAGTTTTGCTGTAAATGTTTGTATTCAAACACCTTTATTGTTTTTCAACCTTTCTCTTTAACGTAGTAATATTAAAATAAATTATTTGTTACGACAATGTAATTGTTCCACAGTGGCTCATCTGTAAATCCGAAGGCTTATAACGCTTAAAATCGGGTTTTGATACATTGTGTAGTTTTGTGCTTAATTATAAGCGTTAGATAGGATCTGAGAAAGATAATTTATTTTGTATTCAATTTCTTGAAAACAAAGAACATAATGGAGAATGATTGTAACTGTTATATATTACCTCCATTGTTTATAGAACACATTATTTCATGATTTATATCACTCGTAAATAATTTTAGTATTGAATATTCTATATTGCCTTCATTTCTGAAAACCTCTTGATGCAGTGACAATAAGATTATTTAGGGTTTTTCTACTATTTAGTAGTTCTTTTATCTCTTGTGTGAAGCTTTTATTAAACAAGTTTTATATTTATATGTAGTTAATTATTTTACGTAAATAATACCCCCCCCCCTATGTTTATTACGCTAAACATTAGCCTTCGCTGCCTGCGGTGGACAGAGGATAGAAGGTATGTTGTGTGGCTTTTTGCTTAGAAATAAAAATATATATGTATATATCAGTTCCTACATTATATAATATTGTAATATAACTAAACAAACAAACACGAACGCTCGCAAAAAATGTAGGATACACCCTAGTGGTTTTATATGGTTATATTGTTTTCTTTTTATTATAGAACGATTGTTCGTTGACTTTTGAATAAATATATGAGAATGAAGAGATTCGTATTTCGATACCGTAGGTTGTGAGTCGAGCACTTTAACTACCAGGTCTATTGATGAGTGAACACGAACATTATATGAATACAAGTGGCTGTCTCGCAGTAACCAGTCTCTGTCTCGAAAACCAAAATTTTGGTTTTCACGTTGCGTTTCGGCAGTTTATTGTCCGTATACATTTGTTTACATTTATGCATATGTTTTGGTTTTCACGTTGCGTTTCGGGCAGTTTCTTGTCCGTATACATTTGTTTACATTTATGTATATGTTTTGGTTTTCACGTTGCGTTTCGGCAGTTTATTGTCCGTATACATTTGTTTACATTTATGCATATGTTTTGGTTTTCACGTTGCGTTTCGGCAGTTTCTTGTCCGTATACATTTGTTTACATTTATGTATATGCCCCCAGTGGCGCAGCGGTATGTCTGCGGACTTACAACGCTAGAAACCGGGTTTCGATACCCGTGGTGGGCGAGAACAGATAGCCCATTGTGTAGCTTTGTGCATAAATTAAAACAAAACAAACCCTAGTAACAAAGCATGAAACATACCCTAGTACCTGTATTGTCATAAATTAGGCAACCATTTCCCTAAAGTCATATCCTAATTATTGTTGCAATACATTGCAATATAATATAATGACTACTGAGTAGTCTGCATTTGTCATATAAATAAATAATTTAATTTTCCATTTCTAGATAGGGGTTCGGCAATTATTTGACAGTTTATATTATATATACAAACAACACAATAACTATAAGTTTACCCTAGAAACGGCTTTTACTAATTAGAATTAATTTCTCAATCTGAAACATCTTTAAATTCAAACTACATTTTTTCACTTTGTTATCAATGTGTTTCGTTTAACCATTCATTACAGACTTTGTCAGAACATATTACTTAAATATGCATGTACAGTGATAACATTAGTTCTCTATAAAACACGTATTTCTTATAATGTTACATTTTTTATGTTCTTTACCCAAATGGAATCTACGTTTATGTGTATTGTGTTAACTGTACAAATAAATGAGTTATATTAAAAAACGTTGGAAAATGGACTTTTTACCTTTTGGCTAAATACATGTCATAAATGAGAAACATAAGTATTATAAGTTGGAAAACATTAAACATAGCATAATATAATACATGGTAGTTACTTCATTAGTTAGTTATGGAAAAATTCAAACTTATATAATCATGTTTATATATATATTTTTTGCTAGATTGCCATATGCCTCAAGCCTGCAATTGTAAGTATACATTTTTATTTTATGCTATGCTTTAAATATTTTAATATAGATGTTTTGTATTGTTTGCCAGAGGGATTTTGGCATTACGTAATGATGATGTACGTCGCCTAAAAATGTTCTGACCATCTAAATACATGACGTTTCGAACTTCCTAGAGTCATGGGGAAAAAACAAACATTGTTTAAAAATAGCAGAGGTAGTGACTCAGTGAGTGAGTGAGTTAGTTATTGGTTCATTATTAGTCAGACAGTTAAATAGTAACGTTATGACTTAGATACTTAATCAATCAGTGACCTCAATGGTTAAAAAAATCAGTGCTGTATTTATTTTTATTTTACTTTGTGGTAATTCAAATGTTTATTTCATTCGTCTTTTGATACGCACGGTGGGCAGATCACAAATAGCCCATTGTGTGAATCTTTTTTTTTATGAGTTAGGCCTATCAACAAATGTACTCTGTAGAACATTATTGAATAAATGTGTAAGTCGTCATAGATAAATGAACTGGACTTTTCCTTATTTTAACCGAATAATAAGAGAAGACACACCCAACGATAGAAACCACTAAAACATCATTATTTTTTCTCCGTATCTTATGATATCTTTTCTCTATATTTAATAAGCACCTCTGATGTGTTTAATTTGAAATTTTGTTTACAAAAGTTCAAAATCATCCGTAAATAAAATGCAAAGTGTTAAAACATTTAAAGAAGAACCCACAGAGGTTTCAACAGTACTAAATTCATAAAATTAATGCATTCACCCTGTATACAACGTTTTTAAATGACTTACTTGTGTAAAACAGAAAAGTTTCTAATGTAGTTACAATGTCGTGTTTATTACTTTAAACGTGAGGTTTTAATTTTCAAATTTATGAAAATGTAGTTCAGCATGTTTTATACGTCTTGAGACAAACGACTTTATTTCTTTAAGTTGAACTGTAAGCCAGTTTAATTAACGATTTTACTACAGTTTTAGGTAAACTAGTATAATAACTTTAAAAGCAAACAATGTTTTAATTTAATTCAAAAATATTACCGTAAACCGCAACTATTTAGTGGAAAATGTATTGTTAAAAGTACAAATGATCTGAGCATTTCAGTTGAAATTAAACTCAAAATTATCTTAATAAAAATAATTTCCTAATGTATTACATTTTTCTCAACTTATATCTATTTCCCGGTAATTCTTATCAATGTAATACAACCCAATGAAGCAAAAGACGATTTAATAAGTATTTGATATGTATAGAAGAGTGTTTGTTATAACATGTAATTCATATATTTTTTCAGGATTTAATAGAAGATGAGCTGAAGGAAATTGAAATAAAGTGTCTGCGTGAAGCGGAGGCTTAGGTACGATTAAACTTTAAGCAACCTGATCACATATCTTCTTTCATATAGATAAATATCCCTGACACAATTTGAAGTTTGGTACATAAAACGTGAACTCCTCAATCTTGCTAATTTGTGAATTAAACTGGAATACAGTTATGGTGTGTGTACTATATAGAAATATTGCTATTGCTACACACACTATAATTTCTATATAGTTATAGTGCTACACACAATATTTCTATATAGAGTAATTTGTGCAACGATTGTAGTTTTTGTTTAGTGCTACGACTGTAGTTTCTGTTTAACACTTTTCAATTATTTTTCATTAGTTCTATCAAAGTAATGTATGGTTCATAGAGAATTAGGGACGTAGAAAATATAAAACAGGACATATTTTTGTCTTGAGTTACGACATGCTTCTCTAAATCAGCGAATGTTAACAAGGTTTAACTCGCATTATGGCTACTTTACTTCTTTTAAATAAAATATTATCATATTGATGAAAATTTGCTTCAGAGTATAGCCCATTGATATGAAAGTGGTAAATATTTTAAAATCGATAAATTTATATATACATATTATAGATATAAAATCGAAGAACAGGACGGCTGTCAAGACATTCTGATATATTAAATTTTCAAAACAAATATGTCATTCTGAGAAAGTAACACAATATTTTTAAATTTTATCTATATTGGTTTCATCTAAACTTAATTAGTACGAATATTCTAATTAAATCTTGATTTCGAAATAAGGAACTACATATGTTTTATCTAAACTCGTATTTTAACATTTTTTTTCAGATGACAGTGCTGTGTTTACTCTATCAAGATAAAAGTTTCTTTTTGAATATTTTTTGTTCAATAAACTCATGAACTTTAAATAATAAATTAAAAATACACAAATTATAACAAATATCTTTGTTTTTATTTGACTTTAATGTCAGTGATTGCTACAATAATTAATTAATCAATGGTGCTCTATTTCTATTTATCAAATTTAAGTATAAAACAATAATTTGTTTTATTAGTAAACAGCATAATAATATAGTAATTATATTTGACATCATTAATGATAAGAATCTCTTTCAGTTCTCTGTTTCAACAACTAGGTAGCATATCATACATCAGTTTACGATCTGGTGCCAAGTAATGAATATTATTCTGATAAATTCGAGCGATACTTATCATCATTATTATTACTATCGATCTTAAATACGATTTAAAGGTGAATTACAAACACCACAAAAGCAGTTACTACAAAACTTTTATTTCCCTACAAGAATGGACGAGTCGGGTTCTCGTTTTCTTTTTTTCTTTCTTCCTTTCCTTCAGCTGTAACTCATAAACTACAGTGTTTTTACTTCCAGCCTGTACACCAAAAACATTTCACTACTCCCTAAGATTATCTTTTCAACCTGAAGTCCCAAGAGATCCACGATAGGCTAATTACAGCATAAAATATATTCAACAATACAGATTGGTAGTTATTTCCTAATACGCATATGAAGCAATAGATGGCGCTACACGTGATGTTAATCGTCAAAAAGTATATCTCTAGAAACTACCAACAAAAAAAAATTATTTCAAAATTATTGGATTGTAGAGATTCCACCACCTGACATATATATGCATCCACACTGTGAGTGGTTGAATGCAGGAATGGGTAATGCAGATTTTCCTTCCATCCCAAATGCCCTCTAGTTTCTGATTTATTTCCATCTTTACATCCCAACAATTTTGGAATAAACTTTTTTATTACTAGTAAGTATCATAAACTCGATTAGAATAAAACAACACGGAACTAGTTTCCTTCACTTAGCGATCATGACAATGCTCTACGTTGGCTTTTGAAACCTAGCAGAAGTGAAAAACCCAAACTTAAAGATTCTAACTGATAACAACTTGTCTTCAAAATTAAAGAACTCTTAAAAAAAACATGCCATACAAAATTTAGAGAAAATAAAAATGATTATTAACGTAATGAGCAAAAACCTAAGCATATAGAAGAATTACGTGTTACTCCAAATGTCTGATATGTTGAGTTTAGGATATAAAACATCAGACAATGGAAATAAAAAAGGTATATCTGAATAACATAATGTAATGAAAAAAAAGCATCTATCAACTACACCGTTAAAACTGGAATGTGGCACTATTTTACTCCTCATGAAACTTACAAGTATATCACTGTATTCAAAAATCTGATCAGAGCCTATAATCAATCACATCATTACTAGATACCGGGTTTCAATACCCATGGTGGGCAGAGCATACATTGCCCTTTGTGTAGTTTTGTGCCTAACACACAACAACAACACTGAAGGATTTTTCTATAATCTCTTGTAAATCATAAGGATTTCGTCCGTCCACACAGTCATATAACATTTCTTAAATTGATAATTTACTAGTTTGTACTTGACTGCCTACATTCAACTGAAAATTTACATTTGTGACTGATTTGTAAAGTGCTTTCCCCATTATAGACTGATTATTGTGATTAACATTCACTGTTCTCATTTAAAGACTGTTTGTGGATTCTTATGTAGATGTTTTAAAACTTCTAACTTTGTTTAGTGTGGAACTTAAAGGTGTTTTTCACAGGCATTTTTTGGAAATCCGCCTGTTTATGTTCAGTATTTAACCCTATGTACCCAGGCATCATTTACTGTGCATGTCACGAGGTTTTAGTGTCTTACATTCAAAATTTTATTAAACTAGTTTTTCTTTATGTTATACCAACTAGTATAGCATAAAACCATAGTTAATAATCGATATCTTAATATTATATAAGTTTTAAGTTCTTACTTTTATAAGGCAATATTTTTAAAAATCCTACATTTCCCCTAGTGTGAGAAAGGTAACACATTTTCTGTAGGCATCCCATCTTCTATATTCTATTCACCACCCTTCCAATCAGTTCAAACTTTAAGATAAATTACTCACTATAAAATCTTCATTGCTCAGAAAAAACATAATGTTTATAGTTTTCAATTTTGTTGAGCCATCAAATAGAAAATTAGACCCCTCTTGCCACACACACATCTGTCACATCCTCTCTTTTAGGATTTGTTAATAGTTCTATCTTACATTTAATTTTATATTATAACCAATAGAAAGCCAAGGTTTTCATCTATCAAATGACGTATTGCATTGTGTTGTGTTATGAACAGAGAATTGTCAATTATTCGTTTAGTAGAAGCTTCATTCCCACAGGAACGATAACGACTAGCTTGAATGAATTTGTAATGGCTCTTGTCTCGTAGTTAGAAAGCCAGAAAAATTCTGATAGTTTAATGAAGTTCTCTGTATTTTTGCATGTTATTATTTTATGTTCTTTGGTGCATTATTTAATTAAATAAAAAATTATTTAGTACATTACTACCATTAGTATAAAAAAAGTATGGTTATGTATCATCGACGATAAACATCAAGAAAAAAAAGATTCGGTTAAGTACTTTATTTCTTGTTTCTTATGTTTATTCTTTATGTACTATTATAAAAGTAACTAAAATATAAAACACAGCTTTTAAATTTATCATGATATCTATTCCATTTTATGAAACACTGTTTGTTTTTACTCCTTCATTGTTTCCATAATATGCCTTCCACAGCATAGACGTCATTGGGGATATAGCACATTATTCTGATTTATAAAATGTCCCTTATAATTTTTCACCAAGATAATCTTGCAATGTATACACTGGAGGATGCCCCCCATTGGCACAGTGCTATGTCTGAGGACTTATACTGGGTTTCAGCAGCGTTAAATCCTTAAGTCTAATCTATTTACCTTAAATATAATGTTCGTAAATGAATTTGTATAATGTCTAACTCATGCAATAAACATACATTATTTTAGCCTAGTTTAATTTTCCTGTTTATTACAATAAATTTAATGTTTACATTTTCACTTTTAGGAAAATATGTTTCTTTACACTGAACTGTAATCGAGTTCAGTTAAATATCTTACTATAGTTCTGAGTAATGCTGTTAAATCAGTGTTTTAATTTAATGGAAAATATTCAGTAAACCGACACGTCTTGTGGAAAATTTCTTATCTTAACAATACAAATGTACTTTTTTATCCTACTTTTCTAGTTGAAATTAAACTCACTATTATCATTATAAGAAATAATATCTGTAATAATTTGAATTATTCAGATATTGAGACTTTTTCTGAACTTGCTTTTACTGCCTGTGAATTCATTGTTGCATATATCATCACAAATAAAGTAAAATAACCAAATAAAACAAAAGAGGATTTAATAACGATTTGCTGTTAAGGCAAAAATGTTTATTAAAACAGGTAATTTAAATATTTTTTTTCAGAATTTAATAGAAGATAAATTGAAGTAAATAGAAGAAGAATGACTGTGTGGAGTGGAGGCTTAAGTACTTTTAAACGGTAAAAAAAACGATATGACTTTCAAAGTTGGATGTCTGGTACCTGTCAATACAAACTTCTCAGTTTCGCCGCATTTGATATTTTAAGTTGTGTTTTGTCAATATAATTTTGAAAGGTTCTATCTAAATATTTAATAATATTTCAATTAATAACGTTAGACTAACTATTAACTCCAAGTAAATCAAGAAACAACTTCAGTTCCACAACTAAATTTACGGAGTTACTACGCTGAAGTCTAGAGTTCGTTCCCCCCAATGGACAGAGCTTAGGTAATCTACTGTGTAGCTATGTGGTAAAACAAAGTAAAAAAATCTCGAAAATAGTTTTACTATAGTGATACTTAAATTGTTGCATTAAATCCTTCTTTTCACGTCTATATAGCGATATAGTTTTACATTAATAAATTAATTTGAATGTTTCAAAACTACTCTAGTCAGTAGGAGAGAACTTGACAAAAAAACTAACGAAGTGGCTACGCTGAAATCTAAAGTTCGATTCCCCGTGGAGGACAGAGCGTGGATAGTCTACTCAGTAGCTTTTCTGTAAAACAAACAAATCTAAAATCCCGATAAATGATTTTTCTGTATTGATCCTTAAATTTTGGCGTTTTATTTTTTCCTTTCACACCTATATTGTTGAGTTCGGAAATACTTCTATATATCAGTGAATATTAACAAGGCTTAATGTCACTTTACATTTTTTAATAGAAATATTAATGTATTCAAAAGTCTAGCCCATTGCATTGAAAGCGGAATTTTTTTTATAAAACAACTTATTTACAAATGCATCTTATAGATATGATATCCAAGAAGAAATGAATATATCTAGTTGTTAGAACTGACCTTAGAAAAATGTCAGATAAGCATTTTATAGAAAGGGTACGTATAAATTTTAAATATTAGCACTATCAGCTTTATCCAGACTAAGTTAGAACGATTAATAAAGGCATTATATTTATATTTCTTATTATCTAAATTTGAGTTTTAATACTTCATTAAATATTTATCCTGTGGAATCAATCTAGGTCCTAGAATCAGTGATCTACGATCAGTGGTTTCATCTCTGTCAGAAAAATAATTTTTATTTTTTGCTTATTTCTTTCATGTAGCGTGAACCCTAATTTTTTCTAAAACTTACTATCTATTTAAGATATCTTTCCATACCTGTTTCTATAAATCAATTAGCTTAACATTTCTTTTTCAATCAGTCTTCAGCTGTCACCTTTATTTTACTTAAACACTTAAGTATAGTTTTATTTATTTCTTTTTTTAACTATTTCTAAAGCAAAATATCCCTAACGCCTTTTTACGTAACGTTCTCTTTACCGGCCATATTGTACTGGAAATGGAACACACTTACAACAACACATGGAAAAATATACTTAACATTTCCTGGAAGACCAGATGACCTTTATATATCACTTATTCGATTACACCACCATTCCCAGTTTGCCCCTCAAGAAGAAAGGTTTGGAAAGCGATCGGGATATGTGGTTTTTATTATTTTGTACCATTATAGTAATATATGAAGACAGGTATGATCGATTTTTAGTGTGGGCTACCTCATATTTAACCTAAACTGATATCTCTTGTGTTAATAGTAATGTCTTAGACTAAAAAAAAAGACCTTTTGTGTTTTCAATCTCAAATCCAAATCCAAATGGATAAAAAAAAACCTTCACATGCTTGAGAAAAATTCTTGATTTGAACTAAATCGACTTCATTTATAACAAGAACCATATGTTTAATTTAAAAGAACTAAATAGTATGTACCTTTCACCGGCTTTGTCCGATATGTTTTTTATATCAACAAACACCGTCACATAATCAACACTAGAGCACGAAGTCTGCTATAATGCAATATATTGACATTCACAAACAATGATTATGTGACGGATTATCAGTTGAGTTTTATCTAATGCAACTGAGTATATGTTGCTTAACTTAGAAGTACATCATCCGATATCGTTATACCACTGGATCTGAGTGAGATTCGTACAGATGGCTTCAAGGACAATAACTCGTTCTGTTCCTAACCTGACAGTTTCCCTAACAACCAAATAAGCAAAGTATTCATTACCTTTCACTTGCTTCAACATTTAGGGCTGTTTGCAAAAATACTTACTTGAGATCTCATATATATGTGTTTGATTATTCAATAAAAGAAATATAACAAGAAAGCTATATTACATTTTTCGTGTCTATGTATCCGATATGTGGAGGAAAACCGACTACATTACACCCAGAACTGTTTATAGGTATCTTTTGAGTCAGATTATGGAGTTGATATAACTTAACTAATTATTGTACGGTATAATCTAATATGTATAATCTAACATGTACGGTGATATTATTCTTTGTTAGAGAGAACTGTAGAGTAATCCTACCCATAATTTAGGTGTTATATATGTGTACAAAGAAAGACATATAAGTGTAGTAAAAAGTGTTTGGGCAATATCTAAATTGTGTAACTTCATGTCATTATTCTCCAGAGAATTTAGATGAGAAAAACGCGGGATCTTTAGTAAAAGCACCATCCGTTATTTAGATAATATTATCTACTCGTGTGATGAAAGAGGGATAAAAGATCAAGGTCATGTTGTCTAGGGATGTGAGATCTAACAGTTCCTGGATGGCTATAAAATATGAATTACGGATAACGGTTCAACATTGTTTTGTTTGTAGAGACTCTGAAAACCTGAAGATGAAGACTTTCATCACCATTGCTTTGATCCTCACTTTTAGTGTGGCTGTACTTTGTGAATTTAATTTACCCTTTTGTCGTAAGTAGTTAAATATTGTAGTTATTTGTTTTAACACAAAGTTACATAATATACTGTTTCCACTCTGCTCACCAAGGGGGACTTGAACCCCGGATTTTAGCATTTTAAATCCGAAACTTGTTTGTTTGTTTTTAATTATGCACAAAGCTACACAAGGGCTATCTGTGCTCTGCCCACCACGGGTATCGAAACCCGGTTTCTAGCGTTGTAAGTCCGCAGACATTCCGCTGTGCCACTGGTGGGCAAATTCGAAACTTACCGCTGATCTACTGCAGGAGATTAATATATTATGATAATACAGGAAACACTGGTAGAAGCAGTATTTTTTGTATTTTTCTATCTCTGGAGTTAACCATTCAGTTTTGATAAACTATACATACCTAATGTTTACTCTTATAAAAACGACAATATTGTTGCTTCAGTACTTACAATCAACTATTACCAAATATGAAACTTAGAAATTTCCAAAACATTGGTGAAAAAAAAAAACACATTTTGTTTGAGAATTTTTGTTCTCTTTTCCGACATCACTTACTACAACATTTCAAGTCGTGTTGGCGGTTTATTTCATAGATATATTTGCACGTTGTAGCCAGTACATATTTACTTTTCTATAGAACACGTGTCTGTTTTGTTTTCTTCACATATTTGCATTCTTTTTAAATTCTGTATGATGACATTGAACTTCAAATATTTTACAACTTATAATTCTTTAAACGTGGGACATTCACATAATTCACGTTTAAAATGTATATTTCACAAGAATTCATGATTTGGTTGCTGTTAAGCTCAAAGCTACATAGTGACCTGTTTGTACTTTGCTCATCTTAGGTTACGAAACTCAAATTTCGACGTCATATTCCCTGATGACTTACCGCTGGGGACCAGAATTCATGATGTTGCTCCTTGTTAAACGCAAAGCTATACAGGTTGGGTAATTTGTCTAACAACTAACACTTCACAGATGAGAGACGCGGGTTGTCCCTGTAATCCATGAAGGTATGATGCTGCTGACTGGCTGAACTTTTTCTGGTCAATACTTCAAAATTAGTGAAAGTTATCCTTAGTAATTTTACCATAAATACAAAATACAAATAATCATTGTACAAGCAACACTTCACAAGCGTAGAACCCTTGGAATTAATACGCTTTCTACGTAAAATAGTTGTAAAAATGCGTAATAAAGCACAATAAAAATTTGACAAAAGAAAGCATTTTTCTCTAAGGGTCTTTGTGTGTGTAATTTATCGAAAAATATAAAAAAACTAAGACAATAGAGGCAAAATTTGTTGCCAAGTGGATTACAGACACTTCACAATCGGAAGATGTACATCATTTAGAGTTTGTTTCGGTACTTTATCACTGTTATATATATATTATGTAGTTTCTTTGTCTGTTTTAGGGTTCACAGATGATCAAATGGCGAAGTTTCTTGCATGTCAAGGAGAAAAGATCCCTTCTTGGGTAAGGAGAAATTTATAGTTAAACCCTTTATTTGAATAAATTTGTAGAAAACCTAGCATAATGTTCAAATATTTAAAACAAACTGGTATTGTTTCAGAAATAGAAAAGCTCACATATTTCATATTCAAAGGAGATAAATTAATCTTCATCACCAGTGTTTCACTATCTATACTACAAAATAAAAATAATGTTTAAAGGTTAAGTTAAATTAAGATAGAATATTTATAAAATCTAAACAATATTATCTACTTATATATATACGTCATGTAACACTCTTTCTAATTTCTCAAGCAGTGATAATCATTTTAGTTAACTGTTTCTCCTTACAGTTTGGTGTTATATTCAATCGTTGTAAAGAGAAACATTTCCCTCACACTTCATACATAGAAATCATGAGAAAAATATGCGAGGGAGGAAAAACAGTAATGGAGGTAAGATGCTTAATTTCTCCGATGAGGGGCTTAGATGGAACACCTGTTTTAACCACTTGCTCCACTGTATGATAGTGTGTTGTCTGTCAGTCAGTTACACTAATATGACGTCACACGAAGGACCCCAACGTTGCAATTTGTACTTTCGTGACGTCAGTAAAACGTGCGCATGTCATTAAGCAGGGGAAGAATTATGCACCAGATAGGCTGCAACACAGCATGGCATATAAACTTCAAAAGTAAGAAATAGAAATATCTGATACTCTTAATTTTGGTTTTAGTTACTATTTAAACAATACACATTCGGGAGCCTTGCGCAAGTACACCTAGTAAAAGTCATGTTATTTCGTCTCAGTTTAACTTTTATTTAACCCCTGGTATCCCCATGACCATTACGAGTTGGATTTGTTCATATCAACTCTTTATTTTGGTCTCTAATTCAAATTTTCAGTTGATTCGAGTTTAAATACCCGAGGTAGGTAGAGCACACACGTAGCCCATTGTGAAGCTTTGTTCTAACCAATAAACAAACATTTTTAGCTAATTTTTCATCTAAATCGTTATATGAAAGTCTCCGTAACACATTTCTATTTCGCTCTACCTAAAACAGATTAATTATCCTTACTGGTTCGATGACGAGGAACCTACTTTAAGACTAATAATGGTTGGAGACGGTTTGAATGGGTAATGAAGAAAAACTTTAATATAAGTTTAACATAACAACAAATGGACAACGTTTCAACCAGGTTTCGTCATCATCAGATACAAGTAATTTACACTGACACGGATATATATATATATATATACAATATCGAACAAAGAGGTCACATGACCGGTTACTGTTGAAAAACTTAGAACAGGTATCTAGGCACCCCGGGGTGTTGGTTTAGAGTAGGGTTGTTTTGTTCAATTAAGATGGATTCTTTGATTTTTCGTTTGTTTATGTTGAGTTTATGTGACCTCTTTGTTCAATACTGTCGAAACGTTGTACATTTGCTGTAATGTTAAACTTATGTTAAAGTTTTTCTTCATTACCCATTCAAGCCGTCTCCAACCATTATTATCCTTACTGGTGTTCAGAAATTCATGATTTCATTCCCCCTTTATCTCTACTTTCTGACGTGGAAGGTGCTCCGCGATCCCTACTTTAACAAGGTTAATATAACAAAAAAGTTGGCAAAGATTCTGTCAAAGCAGGTGATGATATTATGTTAAAAAACAGGGATATAAATACCTGAACTTTATGTAAGAATACATACTTCATACTTGAGCGACATAAGCGATTTTCAGTACTGTTTGTTTTGATGGTGGACCTTATTTGTTCTGACATGTTGCTTTCCTGTAACCTTACTATAAAAATTACAACCGCACTAAAAAATTCTTAAAAATATTCTTAAACAATTTGAATATTGAATATTCTGTATTGTCTTGATTTTTGATAATCCTTTGATCCATTAACAATAAGATTATTTAGGGTTGCTATTTTATTTTGTTTCTTGGAAGAAGTTTTCATTAAATATTTTTATATTTATATGTGATTAATTATTGTACCTAAACATCAGTCTCCCCCCCCCTCCTCCTCCAGTACCTCAGTGGCAAATTTGAAGTTTAGCACGTTAAACGTCGCCCTTCCTTACGTGATCTGGACATGCCCCCAGTGGCACAACGGGTTTCGATACCCGTGGTGGGGAGAGAACAGATAGCTCAGTGTGCAGCTTTGTGCTTAACATCAAACAAATGCACTGGATATATGACAGATAGCTTTTGGTTGGTTTTTTGTTTAAAAATAAATAAATATGTATATATATCAGTTTCTACAATATATCATATTGTAATATAACTAACAAAAACACGACTATTCGCAAAAGTGTAGGATACACCCTAGTGGTTTTATATGGTTATATTATTCGATTAACGATTATTCGTGATATATCAGACTGAAGAGGGCCCGGCATGGCCAGGTGGTTAAGGCACTCGACTCGCAATCTGAGGGTCGCGGGTTCGAATCCCTGTCACACCAAACATGCTCGCCCTTTCAGCCGTGGGGGCGTTCTTATGTGACGGTCAATCCCACTATTCGTTGGTAAAAGAGTAGCCCAAGAGTTGGCGGTGGGTGGTGATGACTAGTTGCCTTCCCTCTAGTCTTACACTGCTAAATTAGGGACGGCTAGCGCAGATAGCCCTCGTGTAGCTTTGCGCAAAATTCAAAAACAAAAACAAACAACAGACTGAAGAGATTCAGATTTTGATACAGCAGGTTGTGAGTCGAGCACTTTAACTACCAAACATGTTAATGTGTGAACACGAACATTATATGAATACAGGTGGTTGCCTCTCAGTAATCACTTATCTATCTCGAAAAGCAAAACATAAACATAAATGTAAACTCCCAATAAACTGCCGAAATACATTATTAAAACCAAAATGTATATTTAATGTAAACTGCCGAACCACTCTCTAGGAACAAAAACTTAAATTACCTAATTATATGACAAATGCAGACTAATCAGTGGCCATTATATTATAATGCAATGTACTACAACAATAAATAATTATTCACATGGGATATGATTTTAGTGACACAAGCTGTAGGGAATGTTAGATTAAGTTTTATACTTTATTACTGTTTCTAGATTAAACTCATGCTTCTTGCGTTGTTACTTTTACTAATTAAAATTTAATTTCTTAATGTGATAAAAAAATTTAAATCAACCTACATCTTTTACATTTTCTATAAGTGCTTTTGGATTAAACATGCATTTCTTACTTTGTCAGAACATATTACTTAAAGATTTATTTAAAAAAATATTACGCCTGTAGCAAATGCGTATTTGTCATAATATTACATTTTTCACATTGTTATGTTATTTACGCCAAATGATTGTTTGTTATGGATTTCGCGCAAAGTTACACGAGGGCTATCTGCGCTAGCCGTCCCTACTTTAACAGTGTAAAACTAGAGAGAAGGCAGCTAGTCATCACCACCCACCGCAAGCTGTTGGGCTACTCTTTTGCTAACGAATAGTGGGAATGACTGCACATTATAACGCCTCCGCGGCTGAAATGGCGAGCAAGTTTGGTATAAAACCGCAGATTGTGAGTCAAGCTCCCTAACCACCGCACCATGCCAGTTCTAGCGCTAAATCAAATCTACGTCTTTGTGTATTTCAGAATCTTTATTCTGCTGTTTATTTACTGTCTTAACTGAATAACTGAAGTCTGTTTAAAAATTGAGCTAAATACATATCATAATTGAGAAAAGTAAACATTAAACATAAACATAATATAATACATGTTATTTACTTCATTAGTTAGAGATGGAAAAAATTCAAATCTTTTTTTAACCATATTTACATATATATTTTTTTCTTTAGTTTATCATGTGCTACATATCTGCATACGTAAGTACACACTTTTGTTTTATACTATGCTTTTAATATTTTTTAAATAGTTGTTTTGCGTCGTTTGCTAGAGGGATTGTGTCATTACGTAATAGTGATATTTAAATACGAAACGTCTCACCTTTTCTAGAGATATGGGGAAAAAACGAACACTGTATAAAACAACATAGTTAAGGAGTCATTTATTGGGTTAAATATTGAATATGATGCAGTGTTATCGCCCTATTATTGATTTAGCTAATTAATTACACAGATAGATAGTAACATTATAAGTTAGGTACTTAGTGAATCAGTAATTTGAACAGATAGTGGTGATTTTTGTGTGTTTTTTTACTCTGTGACAATTCAAATTTTCACTTGATTCGTTTTTTGGTATGCACGGTGGGCAGAGCACAAATAGCCCATTATGCAGCGTTGTTTAATTTGTCAGTTAGGCGTATGAACGAATGTAACCTATAGAGCATTAACGAAGTAATGCGTAACTCGTTTATAAATAATTGTACCTGACTTTGACTTATTTCAATCGGATAATAGAATAGAACACGCCCATTATTTATCCTGTGTATTTTGCGGTTTTTAATGTTGAATAATCATCATATATGATGTTCCTATTTTGAAATTTTGTTTGCAAATGTTCAATATCCTCGGTAATTAAAATAGAAATTGTTAAAACATCTATAAAAAGAATCCATGGTAGTTACATGAATGCTAAATTCTTAAAATTAATGCATTTACTCTCTATATAACGTTTGTAAATGATGTTACTTGTGTATTACAGAATGTAACGTTTTTAATGTAGTTGGAATGTCGTGTTTATTACTGTAAAGGTGAAGTTTGAATTTTCAGTTTTACGCAAATGTGGTTCAGCATAATTTTTTACGTCTTGATACAAATAACTTTATTTCTTTAATCCGAACTGTAGTCTAGTTTAGATAACGATTTTAGTGGAATTTTGTGTAAATTACTCTTAAATCAAACAGTTTTCTCATTTAATAAAAAATATGTGAGCACACCCCAATATCTAAGTGGAAAATGTCTTATCATATAAATACAAATATTTTTATATGATCTCAAGTCTTAATTTGAAATGAAATTCATAATTAACTATAATTATCCAGACATTTTCTGAGAATATTCTTAATTTCAAAGTAAGATTGCTTAATATCATCAGTGTAATATAACAGAATGAAACAAAATACGATTTCATAAGAATTTACTATGAAATCAAAAATGTTTGTTAAAACATGTAATTTATATGTTGTTTTTTTTCAGGATTTAATACAAGATGAGTTGAAGAAAATTGAACAAAAGTGTCTTCGTGAAGTAATGCCTTAGGTACTTTTAAACTTTAAGCAAACTGATTGTATATTTTCTTTCGCATAAAAAATATATCTGACACAGTTTGGAGTTTGGTACCTTCAACGTAAACAGTTTCACTAATTTTTGAATTGAGCTTTAATACAATTATAATGTTTCTAGCAATATTTCTACGTAGAGCGTTTTGTTCTACTATTGTAATTTTTGTTTAGTACTGTTACGACAGCGAAACTTACGCGACGCTGGGAGCATGCACGCTAGAATTTCTAGAAGGATCATGAATTATCGAGGAACCACGCGAATGTCTAAGTGTTTGCCAGGCGCCCTCTTTTTTTAGTATATAAGCCTGGCAAATAAAGCCAGCGACAGAGAAATATGCAGATAGATTGAAGAGATAGATAACTGAGTCAAGCAGACAGTAGGCACCGTAAGTAAAGTGTGTGAATCATTGTGGTTTATAGTTTAAAGTGACTGTGGAAATTATGTGTACTAAAAGGTTGTATAAAGAAAGAATAAACTAGTTTTAATTAAGAAAGGACTTGTATCGCTGAAGTTCCTCGAAAGGAATTTGTACCGGGAATTAACAAACGAGCAGATACGTAACAGTACTTTTCAGTTATTTTTCACTAGTGATATCAAAGTAAAGTATTGTTCGTAAAAAATAAGGGTAGTATTAAATATAAAACAGGATATACTTTCGCAATGTTGAGTTGCGAATTTTTTTTTCTCTTCATCGGCTAATGTTAACAAGCCTTTACTCACATGAAGCCTACTTTACCTTTCTTAATACAAAATACTATAATGATGCAAATTTGTTTCAAAGTAAAGCTTATTATGTAAAAGTGGAAAATATTTTTAAACGATATATCGATGTATACATCTCAAATATATAACGTATAAGGATGGCTATTAAGAAATTTTGATATATTAAATTTGTAAGAGAAAATATATTATTTTTGAAAAATAACATGCATTTTAAAATTTAGCTCTATTAGTTTCATCTAATCTGAATTAGTAGAAATATTTTAATTGAGTCTTGTTTTGGGAGAAGAAAGGCACTACATATATTTGTAGAAATAAACTTGGGTTTTAACATGTTATCAAATATTTTTCTTTTCTTTTCAGATAACAGCAAGAAGATAAAGTCTGTTTTTCTATTTTTTCTGTTCAATAAACTCATGACCTTTAATCAATGAATTAAAAATATACAAATTATACCAAATATCTTTGTTTTAATTTGACTTAGTGATTACTGGTGATCAATTAAAATATAAAACAATAATTATCTTTATTAGTAAACAGTGTAAGAATAAATCAATTTCAGTTGTCATCATTAATGATAAGAATCTTTTTCATTTCTCTGTTTCAACAACTTGGCAGCATATCATGCACTAGTCTAAAATCTGATGCCAAGTAATGAATATTGCTTTGATTAAACTAAACGGTAATTTTTATTGTTAATGTAGACTTTAAACATGGTTTACAGGTGTAAATTATGTATCAATAAAATGCATTACAGAAAATGTCTATGTACTTGTACAAGGAACAAAATTATTATTCTTTAATTTCGAGAACAGTGTGTGTTGCCTAGAATGAAGTTCTTGTAACTATTATGAGATCATCCTGAGTAAAACAATATGGAAGCAGGTTCTTTCCTTTCACTTGGACAACAATACTCAACAAAAGTATTAGGTTTAAATTCAAACTTCTTAACTGTTACTGCATCAAATATCAAGTTAAAGTACACAAAATAAAAATTATTATTAATATAATGAACAAAAATCTACTCTTATGGAAGAAGGATGAACAATAAAATTTGCTTAGTTTGGGATTTATCCTACTAATAAAAGAATAAAAATTTGAAATAAAAAAGGCATATCTGAATAGGCTGATGCAATATATCACAAAAAGCTGTAAAGATATTTTGAAACTAGACTTGTAATATCAGATATAATGTAATTTTCAGAGAACACTTTAGATTTTGAAAACATTAACTTCATATTGGATCTACTCGAGATTTTCAGCCTCAAATGTCATTTATTGTGTAAGCTTCAACTCCATAAGGTGCATCATGAAAACAATTGTTACACAATTATCTTTGTAATAAAGAATAAATGAACCCATCTGGTATACACTGATAAATATACTGCTGTACCTACGGTAACTGCAATACTTTCCTGCAGTTCCACATCTGTTCCATTGTGTTATCAAATTAAAAACTTTGGTTGGTCAGTTCAATAACATTGCCCAATCGAAAAAATAATGATGGAAAAATGCCATGGAAGACATGGAGGGAATAGTAACATTAAGTTATTAATAGTAACATCAAGTTATTAATCTTGTTAATCATTTAAAAGGATTAGTTTTGTTGGATTAGGAACCTACCAGCATAGAGCCCAAACAACAATTTGGCATTCCCAGGTTTGTTATCAAATAGATTTGGAATGACACAACAGAAAGGCTATTCTGATTTGTTTAATTAAACTTTAGTTGTAAAAGAGCTATGTAAATAACTATGTTTAACCTTTAATACTGTATAAAATTATATCCTTACCTTTCACAAATCTTTGTTTAGAGCTTGTTTCTTGATGGTTTGGAATTTTATGCATACTTCTGGCTAATAAAAACCTCCATTTTCATATGCTATTATTAATGTACTTAAACATAATAAGCAAACACTAAATAAGACTGTTGTCCATCATTTACGTTCACACTTACTTTTGGGGTGAAAGAATTGTAAGTCACATACTTTCAGTGTCGGGCTTAGGAAGTTATTCTTCTGCTTGGTTTAAGATTCTAATAAAATCTTTAGGCTCTTTATAATGACCTGGTCTGATATACTTTATTAGGACAGCAGATTGAGATTCTGAAAAGTAACATAATAATCCTGTACCATAAGACAGCTATGCCAGCTATGTAGATACTGTAATTTAACCAAGGTCACTCACTTCCCACGAGCTTAAAGGTTGATAGTTCTCGGAAGACGAGTGATATGGTTTGCCAAAGTATTATTAGCAGATTAATTCATAGAACTATTACCAGATAATGACACATACAACTGATCAATGTTGAATAGCATGTGATAGAGGCATGTATATCATTTTATGTCGACAGGTGATTCAGATCTGTTTAAATTTATCGGGATATCCTTTCCCTTTTACAAAATATTGTTTGTTTTCACCTCTTCCTCTCCACGTAATATTTCTTCGAGTAGACGTTAATGGTAGACATTATAGCTCTTTGTAGTTCAGATTCGTAAAATGTTTCATTTATTTTTTTCCGAGATAGTCTTGCATTTCATACACTGGTGGATTTGTCTCTGTTCTCTCGTAAGTCATAAATAATTCATCTGTCCATCCATGCATATAGTCTTTCTTAAAGTGACACTTCACTTTGCTGATATGTACTTGGTTGCCTACTTTGAACTGAAATTTTCCTAGAGTGGGTTGTTTGTAATTTGTTCCACATCACAGACTGCTTAGAATGATTAACATCTATTGGTCTCATTTTAATACTGCAACAATATGATTGATTATAGGCACTGACCAAATGTTTCAGTATAACACGATGTGTAAAGTAGCACCACATTATAGTTTTAAGGTGCAATTAAATTTTTCTACTATAGATGATTTTCTTTCATCATGTTTAGTAAAGAATTGAATGTCGTGTTCCTTGAGATTACATTGAAACAGACGATTACTAAATTATGTTCAAGCATTGATTCGTAATTTGCAAAGTTTTCGACCATATTTTAAAATATGTTGGAAATATTTTACAAGGGTTACACATTTCTTATCCATGAGTGGAACAGCCCATGCATATTCAGAAAACACGTCGATATTCGTAAGTAAATATATATATAAAGATTGTTATATTAGCTTAGGTTAAATAGATCCACTAAATCAGCCTGCCAGTGTTCATCGATCCATGAAAAGTCTATTTAGTTTCTTGAAAACTTTTAGCTTACTGGTTTGTGTAGAGTGTATATATATCCTTAAGACTTAAACAATCTTCAACCTGGTTTAGAGTGACGGATTTACCTAGTGCTTTCATAGGTCTAAGTGAAGGCTGTACTCCATCAAAACTAGCAGGGTGTGTACGATTATAATAGATAGTTTACAAACTTTTGTTATAAATCACTTTCTGTACTGTCTACTTTTATTTAACCTTGTCTCTAACAATAGTAATAACTTGACCTTTACAACTGATGATGTTAATTATTAGATGGCTAAAAATATTACTGAGCTTACTAGGCTGGAAACAGACCACGACGACGGTCAAGATACAAATGAATGAATAATACAATAATACTTTATTTGAAATTATTCCATTTAGATAAACTACATTTAGGTTTTTAACACATGTTTTGTCTACATATGTGTACATCTCCAACAACTTCTTGGGAGATATCTGATAGTCATTCTGCAAATTATTTCTATCCAGTATGGTTAAAATTATTTTATTTTCATAAAACGTCATTGATTAGGTCAATTATGTTACTGTTTGGGATGGATTTTCCACTAATACTAACTCCTCATGATTATCCCATGTTAGGTACTCAATGGAATGTATCAAGTTTAATAGAATTTCACCTTTCTTTTTATATTTTTGAGAAACGCTGTCAACAATCTCTAAATTTTCATGAGGTGGCAATTCGGTTTTAAATTTAATGGGTTTCATGGCTTGCTAATGAATGGTCTGATGACGTTGTTGCAGTTGGTTTATCATCTTTCCTTTATCGTCTATGGTAACATATCATTTTGTATAACTGAATTCATAACATTATCTATAGAGTTTAATTCCTTATGTGCCGGTCTTCCATAATGTTTGGGTTGATAAAGAGAATGTAATAGTTCTCTTTATCAAGAATCATTATTTTTGCCATATTTTTAGTTTACAACAGCTTTGCCTGTAGTCCGTCCTACCAAATGACCAAATAAATGTAATGGTAAAACTCTCCATTCTGTATTAGTAAGTTTCTTTTATGTTTAACTGTTGCTTTCTTGACAGTCAACTCTCTAAATAATGATTTGTATTGTCTAAGTTTATGTCTTTGTATGTTCATTATGGAACATTACCCCTTAAAAGGTTTAAAGAGCATTCACGAATACACAACATACATTCATTTTTAGCTTTGGCAATGATTCATTTAATCTGTTTATGTGTTGCTTTAGGTAATGCATGGAGCAGCTCTTGATGTTGTTTAACTCTAAGTGTCATAATGAGTAAATGAAAAGAAATTGCAAAAATAACAAATAAAAACTCTTTATTTATACATCCATTTAGATATAACATATACTTTTTTCACACTACAGTGATAATAATTGTTAATACAAAATGAGGAGGATAGAGTTGATTTTTGGAAATTCATTAACTTTGGAGCATTGAAACATTCTCAGGTTATTATAAGAAATTCTCAACAGATTTTTCAATATATTGGCTTTCTCTCTCTCTCTTTTTTTTATAAACAGTGGTAAAGTTCTCTCTAGTCATACTCCACAGGTAAGGGTAGCCGGCATTATCAGTTTTCCATGACAAATGGGAATGATCAGTACCTTAAATACTTTCATTTCAAAGTGGTTGCTTAAACAAAAACACACATATATATCCAGTGACAAAACATTTGAATGCAAGTTCTTTAATTACATATAGTCTGTCCTTCAGATAAAATCTTTCTAGTTCTATCACTGCCGCAGTCATGATGATAAATTAATATATATTCAGAGGAACATCAGTTGTAACTTACTATGGTATTTAACTATAACTTTATCTTCAGGAAAAAGTCCCGTCCTCATGCGGATATATTCAGGCATTTGTAGTTTCAAACTGATATATAAGTAACCATATAATTGTCTTACTGTTTCTTGATAAGATTCTTCAAAATATTTGACACATGCTGGAAACATTTGTCTTGCTAAAACATTCAAATGAGATTTATTTCTGATATTCTTGAACAAAATAATATATAAGAAATGTAAACTAATATTATTCATTCTTCTACCCTGATGAAATAGATTCTGTACAATATAAAACGATGATTAGTTAAAATGGCGACTTCCAGATATATAAAGTTGAGACACTCGTTCATTTTCTCCAATTTCACTCATAAGATCATCAATGATAAAAATATTTGGTATATCAGACCGTACATAGTCATGAAATATTTCATGTATACCTTCAAGATATTGAGTGTTGGAACTTTTTTGCATTAATTTTGTATTCAGTGGTTGAAATTCACCGTAAGATCATACAATGTTTTCAGGAATAGGATAAATAACTTCATGATGATAAGTTAAGATTTTGCTCACAAACTGTAATTTATCACTACCTGTCGAGTCTGACACTGAGCACTGAAAAGGGTGTTGTATACAGTTATCCATATCAAACTCTAATGAGAAATAGATTAAATGGGACTTACCTTATATAGATCATGTATGAGCATATTTGGCATTTTCCTCAAAGGTCCTGCATGTGCCCTTTTTTCAGTCCATAGACCATTGTGAGGAGTTAGTCACATTAGATGAAAA